TCCATCATGACATCGGGCATGTTCTACCATATATTCAAGGGAAAATAATCTACAACTACCCCCGGACACCCAACATGTGCACCAAATTTGGAACTATAATAGTTTCATAATATCACTATATATCACATATATCACTCTTATTTGGTTCCTCCTGCGACTTATCCGATCATGAATTGTCTGGAATCCGAGAAATGTCGCCCTCCCAGCTTGAACTTGCTCACTTTCAATGCTCCGCGCGGCCACATGCATCTTTCGAGCGCGAAGAAAGTAGAGATGCCAAAGCATACGCAGTTCGTAGCCGGCCACTCCGGGGATTTTCACTAACTCCTGGCATGTGGCGACCCCGGAAGTGGTGGGAAAACCAATGCGACTCGCGACCCAAAAAAGACATGGAATCGATGGTGATGGCCATCATCCAGTGCAGTTAAGTTGTTGCTACGGTGATCAACGGGATGTGATGATGCAGTGCTTCAGTGCGGTTCAATTGCTTCTCACCAAGGTGATCAATGGGATACGTAATTCCTGTCAGGGAATTTTCATGGCTACGGCTTCTATAGGAAGTACCAGTGGTGCGATGATCACCCCAATCATCCCCAATCCATACACTGGGTGTTCCGATCGCAAACTTGAAGTCCCAGTCGACCTAACGTGGGGTGAACTGCATTGACTGCATGGCCGGTCGACGATGCAAGCATCTGGTCTCGGTGTTTTTTTTCCCCCAGTCCTTCCAGTCTAAAGAAAGAGATGACACCACAACCAAGTAGCCTCGGGTGGAGGAAAACCAAAAACGAACAAACGCCGCGAAATCCCAAGGAACGGGACCACATTCCCAAGCACCAAACAGTTCCATAAAACGCGAGCCACGAAGGGTTGACTATGTCACTATAATTCACTATATATATGTCACCAAAACTTTAAGCGCCCTAGATCAGAAGGGTCTAGATCAGAAGACTTTCGTAACCCCACAGCACATCAATAAAATCCAAATAACTCAAAACAAAAGATTCAAACACATTTTATGAAAAGATTCAAACACATTTTATGTTTTGCATATTTCCGAACTTTATCCGATTTGTTAGTTGTTGTGTGCATATTTTGGCATTTTATCACATTGTTTACTGAGCTTTGCAGTAAGAAAAACTGCTGGGTTGATATCTGATCAATCCCTGAGTGACGTATGGTCACCTCATCGATGTTATTGTTTATGCTTCTGATGTTGAGTGTTATTAATTTCGAGATCTCTTGAGTTTTGTTTTATTCTGTTTTTTTGAGATTGTTTGAGATCTTTGGAGATGTGTTGTTTTGTTCTTAGATTTTCTCTGTTTACTATTTGCTTTTGCCCTTACCGCCCTTACCTTTTTTGAGATTGTTTGAGATGTGTTCAACGTGTTCTTTCGTATTTTCTAGATTATGTCATCATTTGGAAACATGTATATATGTTATACAATGACTATGCGCTTATTGTTTTAGAAGCTACTGTAATGCTTGATTTTCTTGGTTGTTTCTTTTTCTTTATTAATGCTGTTTGTGTTTTCCAGTTTTGTTCGTTTTTGTTCCTTTTTCATCGTTGACCGAATGTGTGATTCCGATCTAACCCATCCTGGCGAGATCTGGTACAGGAAACCCTGCAGGGTGCTGCCTCATAGCTAAGTTGGTACGTAACAAACTACCGTTTATGGCAAATATATGTATGATTATGTGTGTGCTAATATATTATATACATGTATTGCCAGCAAACGTATATAGAATACATATACATATATAATTTATATAATATATACCAAGAGAACCGGGGACCTGCAAAATTGTAGGGCCAGTTTAAAAAGCCGGGGTTTGACAACAAAAGCCAGGTTCTGAAAAAGAACCGGCTTTTCATCTCCCTGATATTTCATCATCTTTTGCACTTGCCCCATCATATCCACTGGAATCCACAAGAAGCCATCTATCATTCCTGACATCCCTGTAATTTGAGAAAGGAATGCTGAAGGCCTCAGCTTTGAGGCAGCAAGTCATGGATCCAACTTTTTGGGGCAAGCTTGTCCTGCAAATCGGGCCTAAACACCCGTCACAGGGCACCCAGGAACCAGAGCCCAGAACCCATATTTTTACTACGGCTTACGGCTTACGGGTTCAAGACGGGCTCGCTACGGTTTAAATACCGGTTTGAGCATAGGTTCTGCCCAGTTTGAACAAAATACGGCTTCGCTACGGGATAATGATGGGCCCGCTACGGGATAAATACGGGTTCTTTACAAGAACTTATCTTTTCGTGCCAGTGCTTAAAAAAGACATATTAGTTGTTCCCCAAAATTCAAAAACCAAGAGAACATGTTAGGATGTGTAGTTCTGGTCCCTCCCAGGCAATGAAATAGAAACCTCACCTCTATTGAGTTCATGGTTTCGGAAAGTGGCGCCACTCCATGGGAATTCGTCGACGTTTTCCCTTGCGAAGATATGTGTAAACATCATCTAACTGGGCAAACAAAGATGGTTTCTTAAAAACCTGTATTAAAAAAAACATGTCTTTTGTGGGAATCTCCTCCAAAACCAGGTTTTCATTTTTGGACCTACAAATTCCAGGGTTCTAGGTTTGCTAGGTAGAGGTCATATGAAAGTTATGCTTGAATTTCCACCTGCGCAGTGGAAGCAGCACCCAAATCCTTTCCATCCCGAGAAACGTGACATATTCATGCCCTTCTCCCGCAGCAAGATATCGATAGGATGATCAGTAGCACTGGATGTGCGCCTCAATGAGCTGACGGGGAGATCATCAACCCAGTTTTGATGGTTTATACCACCATATACCACCCATTTATATCCATTTATGGTACACTGAGGGATGGTTTATGATTGCTTTAACCGATTATATAGTCGGTTTGAATAATCCCCACCTTAAACACCCTCCATTCCCTGCATATGGTCCCACATATATGCACCCTTCTAAACCATGGTTTCGTTTGGTGTTGAATATGGGGGAAAAGATTGCCTTCATTCCCCAATTAAATGTTGATGGCTTTTAAATGCTTTTAAGCCATCTGAAGATCGTCACTAGAAAGCTGATCATGCCAGCGAGGAACGCAAACGCAACATGTCTCCGACCAATAAGCAAACATATATCTGACCGTTAAAAATTGGGATATCAACCTGGCTTCTGATATTCACCGATCAAGAAATATGCAGATTAGGGTAATTTGTGCAAGCATGAGGTTTGTGACCAAAAGAAATTGGAGATAGAAATGCCAGTGAGAATGTTAAACTACAGTGAAATGTCAAACCACTATATACCTCAAAAAAAAAGCTGAATATGTAGATAAAAACTCTACGCATTTTCTTTTGGCAAGCCAAAGCCACAACACCCGCTGAAAAACCAACAGACTTTGAGTTCCAGTGCAGTGACTTCAGCAAGCCTCTGATACATAAGGTGTACAAACTGGTCTCCCCCACAAAAAAAAGACAAACACATTCCAAACCTTTTCATGATAGAACTATATTTTTACACCTGTCACAGTTTCACCACTTCCAGGATTCCGATTGTTCATGCTATCATACTGAGGGCTTTAAACTAGTGTTTGTTCTTTTTTTTAGATGGTACCATGTAGTTGCGACTGATAATAACTATGTGATTCCATAGTATGGGCATGAAAATCGTCACCAGGATAGCATGGGATTCCTTTCGGAGTTCATTTCCCAGCCAGACCTGCCATGACTGAAAGCTACGGTATGTTGCAATACACACACACACAGAACCCGCTAGCACAGAGCGAAGCTCTCAGAAACAACCCCCAACGCTTCATGGAATTCCAGCATTGAAGCCCCACAGGCGCCCCCCAAACTCGGAGAAATCATGAGGAAAAAAACATGTCTATACACTCTGGTACTCAAACATGGCTAGCATGGCTAGTTGAAACAAATCAAGCAATTGATAAACTTTAAGAGCCCTGTATTTCACAAACCTTTAGCTACGGCTGATGCTATGATGCTTCGTAACGCCCCATAGGTGCAAAACTCCAGCCAGTGTCCATCCTCAAGTTTGCCTTAATCATCTCACATCTGTTCTTGGCCAAGAACCATCAAAACAAATCAAACAACTGGATGAACCATTTCCACAAATCGTTTCGCTAGTTGTCAACCAAGTTGTGAACTAACTCACTTCCAAGTGCAAATGGGTTTGATATGGCTTGATATGGTGAAACAATAGTGTCACACCCCCCGGCCGTAGTCAGCCATTGTTGCGTTCGATGATCCTCCCGGGCCCTTTTCTTTCAAGCCATCGGTGGTGCAGACATCCATCGGGCCAGGGGAACGAGGGTCACATGTGTGAGCCAGTCCCCAGGGATGAACGTAGGCCATAGGCCGTTCGGCAAAAACATCCACCGAAGTGAAAAATCACAATTTTGAAGACGCAAATCATCACAAATCATGTAGATATAATACGAATATCAACCAACCCTTTGCCTTTCAGTTTGTCAACAATTACAGAACAGGGTTTATCCATCCTACAGTATCTCTGACCTTTGATACCCTGCAGCAACAACAACAACAACAAGAACAAGCAAACATGTGTGAACCTAGCCCACAATCTAAAATCAAACCATGAACACCAACTCCATCTCGCTGTCACGAACACCAACTACCATTCACCATTAAATCATATTAAAATATATTAAATATCTTGGCCCATGTAATATGAAGCCACTCATCTATGAAACTTTCTTCCCTAAATCGGATTTAACGATTTTTACATGTTTTTTACTTTGACTTTATCTTCATTCTGCTTGCAGATTTGGCTTGTCATGAACTCTGATATTTCAACATAGCTGTAGAACATCAATATTCTTTAAGAGGTAAATCACGGTAATTCATCACATTTCTTGACGAATTACATATATTAATCACCATAATTATTGTTCAAGAGGACCCTGGTAATTATACCATAATTATACCTGTGATTATTAGTATATTATTAGTATATTAATCATTCCTCACCATTGTTACGATACCACAACTGTTCATCCCTGTGAGGACCTGGCAACATTCCTCCCTCTCAGTGCCGCCGCCATGGAGCCGCGCGCCCCGGCGCCCAGACCCAGCTGGACGCCGGCGCCGGTGCCGCCGCTGCGCACCTGGCCGGCGGCCACCATCTCGCGCGCGCGCGTGCGTTGGTCGCCCACCAGGTCCAAGCGCTCCTGATGGCGGAGCTGGGCATGGCTGATTTTGATGGCATTCAGGTATATTACCTGGAAAAAATGGCTGGCTGGATTTGGTGAGATTTGGTGGAATTTCATGGGGCGAAGTTGAGTTGTTGGGTTTATGGTGGTTATAACTATAGTCAGGTGGGTTTGTAAACCAACTTATCAATGGGGAGTTGCTGGAGGTGGGGCTTGGGGTTGGGGGATGATGATGTGGCCCCAAAAATTGATCGAAGGTGGGGGTTTCCCATGTAACATGATATAAATGAGACAACCCCACGGATTAGGGACTAAGATTACCAGGGTAAACACTTACCACGTGGGGTGCGAGAGTGGGGGTTCAGGGATGATGTGGCACCCTCTTTTGTGGGGGAGAAGTGGAAGTTGGAATGATGACGAAACGGTTGGGAATTGAGGAATCAAGTTGGAGTTGAGTATGTAGACGTATGCTTGGAAAAATTGGGATTGGCCGCAAATGATTGGCCAATGTACTTTTAACATACACGTACGCATATCACAGCCGGGTTATGAACTGAACCAACCAACAAAGGGATTTGAGCGGAAGCGGCAATAACGTGGATGTGACCTACAAAACTGAAATTTGACCCACAAGAGTGAGGACTTACAGTAGTTGCTAAAGATTTTCTCTCCATCGCCATCTCAGAGAGTTCAACAGAAGCTGAAGGCGGGCGTTTAGCAAATATGTCATAGGACTTCATGGATGGAATGTCACATAGTGTCACCTTAACTGTATTTTTTTGGGGGGATTAGCCATGATTAGCCCAGAAATATGGGGATGGAAAATGGGCAGTGAAGATGCCAATCGGTGCTGTGATTTGTCCTGCATCTCCGAGTAGTCTTTGGTCTCAATGACCTATTCCAGGCGGCTACGAGCAAGGGTCAGCTATCTGTGGGAAACCTTGGGTCTCAACCAAGTGTCGGGCATGAATAGTAATAGTACCCTCTGGTATAACCATCAAACATGGAAATAGAAAAAAAAAACATCGGATACATTTGTAATATTTTGTAATTCGGCTATTTTCCCAGCTAGAAACCTCCATAGATTGGCGATTGCGGGATCTCCCAGCCATGTTTGATTCCCGGTACGCAAGACTGGCTCTGTTGATCCCAATGTTTTACTGGCTTGCCCCACCTGTCCCATCCTGCCCCTGTGCTTAAAACAACGCACATATCGGTGGTGGGTGGTTTGAGCCCCATCCCCAAAATATGAATGTTAATGTGGATCATCATGCCATGTTTTAGAATGGATACATTTTCGCACATGTCGTGTTGCCAATGGCTCTCGATGAATCTAATAGCTCACTAAACTGCAGTAAGGTCATTTTGGGATGCTTACCCATATATATATATATATGAACCACCATTCCAGTGATGTCGCGCCGTGAAGTCATTGTAATCTATCCAACTATTACGCATGGTTGGGATAGTGAATTACTATAACTTTACGGGTGGGGATGTACCAAGAACAACTACTTATCCTCCATAATGAATAACAACAACTATTAAAACAATAATAGCAGTAATAACAATAATAAAAACAATAATAATAATAACAATAACAACAATAATAATAATACTATTACTAATGCAAATAATAATGCTAAGACAGTAATAATAGTCATAGCTATAAATAAAAATATCAATAATAATGATATTATAATAATAGTATGATAATAATAATAAATAATTAATAATAATATACTATGTACATAGTTATATGGCCACTTCAGCTTGCTGTTTTTCAGCGGGTTTCCATGAGATC